TTCCTAGACCAGTGGTTGTGAAGATTTTAAAAGATTTTTCTATATTTCAATGTGAAAATTGAATTTCCTATTGTGGCCCCGCCCTACCCCAAAGGATCATGATTTGAACAGTTTAATATCTAAATTACCCCAGGATGCTTCCACATACAATATAGCTTTTCTGGCCCAGTGGTACTTGAAAAACTAGAAATATGTCCATAGGACATAAATGCCCCGCTGAGGATCGATTATATTAGTAAAGCAACATGAAAATTTGTATGTGTATGAAATTTGATTAGAATTATCTTTAAATAGTGATGCAGCTGAATTGCTTATTTGGAAAATATAGGTCAGATCCAGCATCCGAAGCAAGTCTGGTAGTGTCCATCCCTAAATGCATCATCCATGCAAGTTTGGTTCAGGTAGGACTTATAGTTACTTGGAAATGAAAATATATAGGTCAGATCCAGCATCCGAAGCAAGTCTGGTAGTGTCCATCCCTAAATGCATCATCCATGCAAGTTTGGTTCAGGTAGGACTTATAGTTACTAGGAAATGAAAATATATAGGTCAGATCCAGCATCCAAAGCAAGTCTGGTAGTGTCCATCCCTAGATGCATCATCCATGCAAGTTTGGTTCAGGTAGGGCTTATAGTTACTAGGGAATGAAATCGTAGGTCAGATCCAGCATCCGAAGCAAGTCTGGTAGTGTCCATCTCTAGATGCATCATCCATGCAAGTTTGGTCCAAGTAGGGCTTATAGTTCCTTAGGAATGGACCTGCTCCAAAAACTATCATCCATGCAAGTGTGTATCAACATGTGAAGTTTGATAACACCATCTTGAATGGTATGTTTAAAACTGAGCTAAACACTCATTTAAGAAAAGTGAGACCAAGGTCAAAGGAAAGGTCAAAAACTGTTGATGCAGTTGCATAGATCTCATCAATATCTATCAGCATATGAAGTTTGATGAAAATATCTTGGATAGTTTCTTTGAAACTTAGCTTTGAACAGAGCTAAATGCAAAGTGTGACGAAAGGACAGAAGACAGACATGACAAACACTATATGCCCCGGCCATATTCATGGCGGGGCATAATAAAAAGATTTGTAATGACCCAATCCTATTTTCATCTCCACTTTCCAGACATAACCCTTTTTTCTGCTTCACAATAAAATGGACTGAGACCAAATAGTTTTGACAGTACATGTACCATATTCTTAGCATTATTATGAATTGCATTCATTGACTTGATCAAACCATAAAATTAAAGGCTGAGATAATAATTAACCTTCAGATTTACCTGACTTGTGCATCCCTGTCAATCAAGGGAATCAAAATTTATCATTGAGTGTTAAAAATTGATGGACATTTAGTATAATTTAGATAATGAACATTATTACATGCTGAATATACAAATTCTACATACAATTTTACATACATGTAATGTGTTTCTGTTCCATGCTCAGTAGATGAGAAAGAACACATATCTCAGTGACCAAGTGTCCAATTCCTTATGGTTACAATGTCCACTCCTTACCAAAAAATCAAAATCTTAATTTCTTCCCTTCTCAGTGTAACAGAGACATGTAACTGCCTCTGCTTGGGATTGAACCCGAGGCCTCTGGCATACCATTCCAGTACCCTACAGATTGAGCTAAAGGGCTAACCCAAGCTAGTAAGCTGACATTTATCTGACACTACTACATTGCCCCCCTCCAGAGAATGAGATGTCCTCATCTCTTTTGGCTTGCTGACACCTTTGGGGCTAAGTAACAGCAATCACTCTCACTCGCCAGAAAACACCTGGGTCCAAACGTAGGTACTAAATGTAGCAGAACCATGTATCTAACACTACTACATACTAGTACGCAAAACTAAACTTTGATGATATGGATATTCATGTACTGCAGGTTGAATCTATTGTTAAAAAGAGGCCCATGGGCCACATCGCTCACCTGAGCACTGTTGCTAGGAAAAAGTAGAAATTGGTTTATTATTGAAAGTTTAAATCCAAAAGTAGTCCCATGACTGATCATGGCTTTGCTATTCTTGAGAAGAAGATTTTTAAAGAATTTTCCTATATATTTCTATGTAAAACTTTGGTCGGCCATTGTGGCCCCGCCCTACCCCCGGGGGTCATGATTTGAACAAACTTGAATCTACACTAGTACTACCTGAGGATGCTACCACATAAATATGATCAATTCTGGCTTGGCTATTCTTGAGAAGAAGATTTTTAAAGAATTTTCCTATATATTTCTATGTAAAACTTTGGTCGGCCATTGTGGCCCCGCCCTACCCCCGGGGGTCATGATTTGAACAAACTTGAATATACACTACCCGAGGATGGTTCCATATAAATACGATCAATTATGGCTTGGCTATTCTTGAGAAGAATATTTTTAAAGAATTTTCCTATATATTTCTATGAATAAATTTGGTTGGCCATTGTGGCCCCGCCCTACCCCCGAGGGTCATGATTTGAATAAACTTGAATCTACACTACCTAAGAATGCTTCCATATAAATATGATCAATTCTGGCTTTGCTATTCTTGAGAAAAAAAATTTTTAAAGAATTTTCCTATATATTTCTATGTAAAAATTTGGTCTGCAATTTTGGCCCCGCCTTACCCTGGGGGTTCATGATTTAAACAAACTTGAATCTGCACTACCTGAGGATGTTTTCCCATAAGTTTCATCTTTCCTGGCACAGTGGTTCTTGAGAAGAAACATACCACCAAATTTTCATTAATTCCCAATTATCTCCCCTTGAATGAGGGCGTGGCCCTTCATTTTAACAAACTTGAATCCCCTTTACCCAAGGATGCTTTGTGGCAAGTTTGGTTGAAATTGGCCCAGCGGTTCTTGAGAAGAAGTCGAAAATGTGAAAAGTTTACAGACAGACAGCTAGACAGACAGACGGACGCCGGACAAAATGTGATCAGAAAAGCTCACTTGAGCCTTCCGCTCACGTGAGCTAAAAAACGAGAGAACTTTGTAAGTTCCATTCTAGTTAACAATCAAATGAAAACAAGAACAAAATTTGTAAATTCAATTTAATAAGCTGGACGGAACATATCTTTATCAAAATGATGAGGTGGTTGATGAAGGTTACTCTAGAGGTGGAACGTCAGGGTCGTCCACAAACCCCTCACTATTGGCACGCTCCGCGGCTTTCTGTCGGGATTTATGACCCAGAGGAGGAACAACTTTGTCCATTTTTTCCTTCACAATGTTAGCAATGTCCACTGTCTTATGAGCTGACTTGTCCACTTCAAGTCTCTCATGAGTGTTCCTAAAAATAGAACATGTACAATGTACCCCAATTACAGCTTTGTATTATATATAAGAATATTTTTGTATCAATCACTGTTCAGTAAATTATAACTTCTAGCATGGAAAAATAAATTGGATATTTAATGTTACATGCATATTAACTTGAGAAGAGACTCAGGTGAGTAAAATGGTTTATTAATAGTTTGTTCTCCTTATTATCGTAGACCTCTGCTAAAAGTGGCTTTATTTTTACTTTCAAAAATCAAATACATGTTTCAAGTAATTTTTTAAAATATCAAACTAAAATCCAGAAACATAAGGAACATTTTACCTTCATTGAAAGGGTGAATTACCTCACACATTCAAAAGAGACTGGAACAGCTGGATATACAAAAAATTTTCAAGAAACATTTCACTTCAAATGTAGGAAAAAAAAACTCTGAGTAATTATTCATGTGAAGGTGATTTTTTTCTACTTCATGTAATCTACCTGTAACCTCAATGTGAATGACAGGTAAAAAACTCAAAACCCTTCTATCCGGTTTTATCTTTAAAATGAATTAAAGGGCAGGTGGCTTTACTGGTTTTACAACTGGCTTTAATCAGAGATTAGAGCTCAAATCAATTTCAATGAAATTTCACACAATAACCAACAAAAAGTGTAAATATCAAAATTTATGCAATTTTAATTTTGATACTTTTAGACCTATAAAACTTCAAACTAGCCTTTTGAAAATGTAATTAAAATCCAGCATCTGAAGCACAAAATTTTCTTAAATTTGTGCAACTTTGGTTTATATATGCCTTATAGTTTCTTTATAATAGACACCCATAACTTTAAGGTATGCAGATACATGTATATGAAAATGTATGTCAAATTCAGCATCTGAAGCAAGTTCATTAGTGTGCACCCTAAGATTTTTAAGTTTGATTCAACACAGAGCTTTACTTGGAAATGAAATATATTTTAAATTTTTCACTAATCCTAAATTATTTCATATTTAATAGCCTAGGATGCACATTTTACCTTCCCTGCAAGTTTGGTCATTATAGACTCAAAGTTACTTGGAAATAAATCCTGCACCATAAACTTTAACCTGTACTCGGAAAATGTAGGTCAGATTCACATCCTCTGGTAGATGCATCATAAGATGTACCATCCATGCAAGTTTGGTCATTATATGTCTCATAGTAACTTGGAAATGAAACCTGCACCAAAAACTTTAACCTGTTCACTCAAAAAATGTAGGTCAATTCAGCATCAAGCATACAATGCATCAAGATGTATATACATGCAAGTTTGGTCATTATAGGGCTTGTAGTATCTTCGAAATGAAACCTGCACCAAAAAATTAACCTGTTCACTCAACCAGAAAATGTAGGTCAGATTCAGCATCCGATAAGTCTGTAAGTAATCCTACAGTGTACCATCCATGCAAGTTTGGTCAACATAGGGCTTATAGTTACTCAAATGATACACCAAAAACCCTTGTATCCTGCTTTTACCTGGTCAGTGTTTGCTGAAATTGCAGCATCTGAAACTTTACTGGTACAATGAAACACACTAGAAACATCTTCCATGCATGTCTAATCAATACAGGACATAGAAGTACTTAAAAAGAAAACTGTTTTTAACCCGGAAAAAAGAGAAATAAATTTAGATGTATATCATGTATTAATTAACCATCAATGCTGTTTACCTATCTGAGGAAGCCTGAATTTAAAAAAGTAATAATAATTTTAAATAAAAGCTACAGAATTTACCTTTCCCTTTAGGGTGACTCTGACATAATTTGGCTGAACATCACAATCAATTAAAGAAGTGTCCATATGTCTGGAAGAACATTAAGAAATTATCTCATTAATATTAAATCCGATGGCATTCTTATTAATCTGTACCTGAAAACAATTTTAACCTCAAACAGTTAATACTAACCATTATATAGAACTGTTTGGGAACTATCAACATAATTTATTTTCTATAAGTGATGGCCTTTTATTAAGTTAACAACTTTTTCTCCTTGCAGTTATGGCACTTTTGTGAAAAAAGCATTTATTTATTGAGTATGACACAGAGATACTGCACCGAAGTCTTTAAATTTTTGTTGGTTACTTTTCACAACCAATCAGTTTCTTTGTATCTGGTTTTGTTCAGTAACCTTGGTAATCTACATGCCAGGAAAACCAGAACTGGCATACTCAAACCAGACTGGATGATAGACATGATCAAGTACATGTATACACAAAAAACATGCTTACTTTTAATTACCCCTGGTACTTTTTATATGTGAGAACTTTTGATTTTGCACAATAACATGAGACTGCCTTTTGCAAAAAAAAAAATCATCATTTTATTGAATATTATGTGCAACAAAAATTCATGAGCATATTCATGATCTCTAATTTTTGTCTAAATTTTGAAAAATGTATATTTATCCAAACTTTAAATTTTTGCATTTGTTTTTTAATTTTTTTTTTTTTGCCTGGAGTTGGATATTTTTTGGGGGTTCTAAATTTGATGAAATCTGAGGCAAAGTTATACCCTAGCTTGCACAGATTAAAAATGGCTTTTTTAATCCGCTAGGACCTGTTTATCACCTATTTTTTCTTAAAATACTTCATTTTTTGTAAGATAGTTATTTGGTATTAATGAGCTAGATAATATGTTCATGAATTTTTGTTTTTATCAATTAAAAACTGATAGACTTACTTAAAGCATGCTACATCCAGTAAAATGTTGTTCTCACTGTCATCCTCAGTAAGTGTGAAGTCAATTCTAGCAGAAAAAAATTGTTTCATTTCATATTCCTTATAGATACAAAATAGTTTGAAAATTCTTGCATTCATATTAGGATAAAGAACAAAGCATTCTTCCATGTGTAGAAATTTGCTTATGATTTCTGTGAAATGTACTCACTTGGCCTCATTCACATTGAGTGGTCTCCCATCTTCAGCAAAGAGACGTCTTGGTTGTTTGGGTGGGGCTTTACTATTGTAAAAGGGATAAAAAACATATATATATATTGAATTTCTTAAAAATGATTAGCACAATTTACAAACATTTAGCCTATTTTTAAGTACATGTTGATTGTATATACTTTTTTTGGTCCTCCTTCTGTTTGAGTTTCTTCATGTGTTCATGGACGGCCACTCGTGACTCGGGTGTAAAGGGAACTTCCTCCTCCCAAAATCTAGAAAGAAAATTCATAGAAGGCATAATAATAAATCAATGCATACTGATGATATAATGGACTCAAAATTTCCAAACATAAGCAAGATTTATCATAATTATAGCTAGCTGACAAAATATATCAAGTGCACTTGAAATTTGTCATAAATGCAATATATGAAAAAAATACTATTGGCTTATAGTCCTAATATAAAACTAGATGTGACCCACTTTTTGTCCTTTTCTGCTAATGCTTCTTCATCCTCCTCCTCACTTTCATCATGTGACCCAGATTTAGTGTCATTCCCTACCTCCTCTGATGTTTTTTGATCACTGCTGAAACCACAAATGTTTTACTAATATTTCAAAAATGTAATGGTCTCCCAAAAATTGAAACTATTATCAAATCTCAAACCAGTCAAAAGACTGAAATTTGCTCAATAAAAGTATACAACAACAATAAATGAAATATGATATTTTTATGCTTCAATATTTATTTATTCACTTTTACCTTTACTATCCACATGACAGAACAAACCCATAATTAACACAGACACAAATAACTTCTGAATGAAATGGATTTATGGTTGTTCTGCAGCTACGCCTTGGGTAAGTTGTTTTTATATTTTTACATATGGCTTGTTACCCCACATTGATTTCGATAATGGCAAAATTGCTCAAATTGTGTGCAAAATTTAACTATAGCAAAAAAAAAAAACTTCAATGCAATAATAAAATTCTGTTTATCATTTTATCATCATTATTTTCTATATACCAACGTATATATATTCTGATATTTGCAGTATTGGAAGTTATGAATGTTTTTAAAATCACACTATACTTGTTTTTCAAGTCAGATGCGTAGAAATGTGTATATGCCATGAAAGGGGTTAACATACAACTGAAAATTTTTAGAGCTTAATCTTATATAAATTAAAACAATAAATGCATTTGCCTCTGCACTTTTTTTGTTTTCCGCTTAGTCATAATATATTCTCAATATTTTATTGTTGTGTTAAAATTTTTTCTTGACTGTCATATATGCCTTACATTTATATTAAACACTTGGACAATTTTAAGCGCTTTGGGTGACCGCGTACATAGCGTAAATTAATACCACGCGGAAAAAAGTACTTTTACAGTATTCTGAAGTTACCTACCCCTCAATATTTGTATACCAGTGTGCCTTTGGAAATTGCTCTTTAGTTACATTTAACTCAAGCTAGCAATATTGGTATACAGTCAGTAAAAAAAATTTGGATATCTCTTTAGTTACCTACCCCTCACTATTTTCTCAGTCAGTGCCTTTGGATAACTTATTCTGATATTTGCAATATTGGTATACCAGTTATGTGTTTTTTGGTTTTTGTTTTGATTCCTCATGTCTTTTCATCTCTTCCTTTTCTTTTAACTTAAAAATATGCCATGAAATTAAACCATTTACTTTTTCCTTCAACTTCAGAAAATTTTAATAATTAATTTATATAAATTTAATATGCACATTTTGTGTATCAAAGTTTTGACTACATGTATTAAAATAGCAGATTTCAATGAAAATTCCTTTGACTTACTCGTTTTTTCTTGTGTCTGTTTTGTTGTTCTACAATGTATCCTCTTAATAGTTACCTACATTCTGGCAGTAACAAAAAAATATCACTATATCAATGAATACTTACATTTGCTGATGTCTTTCCTTATATAACAATGATAATAAAATTGAAATTAAATTTTCAATGACATTGTTGATCAATTGATCAGTTTCTTGTTTTGAAAGCAACCTGCACGAGCTCTTGAAAGTTCACTTCAGAATTTCTTGCGTATGGAAAGCAACCTGCACGAGCAATTTGGAAATTTACTGTGACATCACATGATACGTTACGTTGCATTTCAAAATCAACATCTAAATAATGCCTATATTTCTTTGTAACATGAATAAAAATGTAAAATATAAATATAAGATTTCAATGAAAATTCCTGAGTTTCTCGTTTTTTCTTGTGTCTGTTTTTTACTATAACACCCAAAGGGTGTTATCCTTTAATAGTCCAACATTCTGTCATACCCCAAAAAAATAATGATTTATTATTTCTTAATTGAAGTACCACAGCTATCTCTAAATAATTCTCTCTGTTTTTATATAAGAAACATAGTGAGGAAATTACTTTACAAATGACAACAGATCCAACAAGATAAAATCAGGTCTGAAAAAAAAGTTTAAAATTTTAGGGGTCATGTGGGTCCCAAACTTAACTTGTTTTTCTAGCCAAAATTAATCTCAATGGTAATGTTCTAAAATGAATTCAATTCTTACCTGCATTGCTTTTATTCTCTCTGACTTTTCTACTGCTTTTCCATCAAGATGCTGCAATCACAAAAATAACATAATTATATGTAAATTACTGCATCAAAACATAATCAGTAAAACATAAAATAGTGAAGTGCCATGGATGAACAACATTGATTCATTATAAGCATAATTCATTACATCCATCATAATACATGTAACAATATAATTTATAACCAATGGGTAAAAATCACTTCCATGTATGTGTAATTCATTATAAGCATGTACATGTAGGTATAATTTACCTGCAGTCTGGGTAATGTTGCTATGACATATTCTCTGTAACCTTCATACTCTGTACATGGATTTCCTGTTAAATATCTAGTAAAACGAATGAAACAATTTTAATACTGTTTTAGATCAATACATTTTATCACTATAATAAATTTTTTTTATCAACAAATAAACACAAAGTTCCAGTAATTTTTTTTTTAAATACAATGTATGTATATCCTCATTATTGTGTGCTTACAATTCTTTGAAATGCACTAGATCTTTGAGATTTTCTATACTGGTCAATTCACCAACAAAGTTCACTGTTAGGTCCAATTTCTTCAGCATTTCACAGTCTGTACAAGAAAAAGAAATAGGAATCTTTCAAGACAAGCACATGTGACATTCTACCTATCATCTACATGTAATAAGAGCAAACAAAGTCACTGATATCTTCCTGTAATGATTTTAAAAAATAAACTCTTAAAAAACTTACTCTCTAAGTTTTCGATCTTTTCAACATTATTTAAAGCTAGATTTAAATACTCCAGTTTCTTGAGACGACTCACATTTTCTGCAAATTAAATTAATTAAAGCATGTAATAAGAATTGTAGAAACAAAATTATGCATGTATAAGCATTTAAGGAAAGTGAAAATTTAAAAATATATAACTGTGAATTTCTTAAGATATTTTTGACTCATTGAAATTATGCATGACCATTTATAAAACTTTACAATGCCAATAATAAAAAAAACTTTTACCAATTTTAGGGATCAAGTTGCTTTGCAAATATAAAATTTTAAGGTCTCTGCACCATTTGTCCAAGTTTTCAATCCTGTAAAATTAATTAATCACACTCATATCTATGCCTTTATACCTTTTAAACATTTTAGATAAAGAGATCGATATTGAGCGTGTTAATATTGTTTAATGCTGGTAATCAGTAAATGAATTGTTATTTATAGACACACATTTAATAGAAAAAAAAATAAATAAAAAATTAGCATTGAATCTTACTTTTCTATGTCTTGTTGATGTAGAGACACCTCTTCCAATGTTGAGATTTCTAAATTATTATGTTCTGCTCGTTTGCGCACAAGATCTTCTGTGACTGTGTTGTAAAATACGTAAGCATTATATAAATAGCATCATAGATGGAAGAAAGAAAAAAATAACAGGGTAAACAGTTAACAGATATGCCAAAATCTTAATAAGTCTTCAATTACATTATAGAGAACTAGTTTAGACTGTAACTATATAGTTGGATTAAACAGCAAAATAAAGCACAAATATTTTGAAGACGTGATAATGAAATAAAATATATTTCAAAAAATTTCATAAAGTTATGACAAAATTAAGTTATACTTAGCTATATAATATATATATTATATCATTCAAGAGATTAGGGGCCTATTTTAAAAGATAACTTAGATCTCCATCTAAGACCCCAATTTAATTTTGCTTATGGTCACTCTATATTTGTACAGTGACTTAAAAATAATTTTTACATTTAAAAAAAGAAATTACTGGTAGCCTATGAGTTAATACTGACTTTCTCTGGCCAAATTGTTGGCATAATTAAGTGGCTATAGCTGAGTTTGTTGTGCCCAAGAATTGAAAGGGTCACATTAATTGCAATCTAGTCAGATTCAGCTTGAACTTGAAGGGGTTTCATGTGACTGCTGTTGTCTTTTTGTATTTAATCAATTTTGCATCTTTTTGGCTACCATTTACCAATATATTATTTTACTACAAAAAGGGCAAATGACTCTTTTAATTTGTAACATTTTAATCCCATCGACTATCATCATATGGTATTCACAAAAAAAATCTGCAAAAAAATGACACACCAGTTAACATTTTAATTTGTATACATTTTACATAAAGCCATGTTCATCGAAAAATAAACTATCATCATATGGTATTCACAAAAAAAATCTGCGATCTGTATTTTTAAAAATAAAATTAAGACACACCAGTTAACAGGTACAGTAAAACTAGTACTATTTTTTCCACAAATTTTACCTTAAAAAAGCCAATTAGAAAACAATTTTTGTCTTTTCACGATTTGTTTGACAAGGACATTGCGGATAATTGAGGTATATAGCATTGCTTTCACAGTACACAAAAAAAAATTATTTAGTTAAAAATTTAAGATTTTTTAAACACTTGGTGATGTACTAAAAATTGAAATAAATCGCAATCTTAGACTTTTAATAAAATAATCTTTAAACCGATTTAATTTTTTGACATTTTGTACAGATTGTCAGAATAAAGTAATTATAATTTGATACAAAATAAAATTAAATTCTTCCCAAATGTGAAAACGGTACTGAAAAATAGAATACAATTTTCAGTTTGATGATATTCTGTAAGAATTTCCTTGATTTATATTTTCATTTTGAGTATATTCTGCATAGATTTTTTAGTAAGGTCTTAAAATTATATTGGACTAGATATAGATATTCGCTGTTGTTTCACCGGGGAACCCCTCACTTAATATTGAGTCTGTGGCACAATCAATTTTAAATCGAAAATTATAAAACACAAACAAATCTTTTCGGAATTTTATGCCTCTTAATGTATGTGATCTCAAACGCATGTGTTACAGCAGCAGCACGTTTCTCCACGACTTCGCTCAATATTTGTTGTCCGCGATGCCATTACACGACTCTCTAATCACACTTCCTTGAAAAAAGAGCGCACTCAAGGGAAGCTACTCTAGATCATGGAAATAGTTGCGATGAAATCTATGGATTTCACGTATCAGCCCCGGCAAAATCCTAATGCCGGAAATTTCATAGCCGGCAAAATTTCTCGTACAGGCGGTTAATTTTGCCGGTTGCCGGCTCTTATTGAAAACACTGCTTATGACGTCAGAGTCTTAGGCACGCCGAATGTCACGTGCGGTTTGACGAGCCCGATCTAAATGAAAACTGGATAAGTATCTGCGCTTGCCCTAACGGTCGCACCGTCAACATATTAATTTTAAGTCTTGGCGAGTTAAGTTTTACTGTATAATTGCACAGCACTACTCAGCACTAAAGGCCACTGAGTTGTGAGGGATCCTTTTCACGCTAATACCTACTGTGATGCGGGATTTCGGTTTTCTCATGATCTGAAAGATCAGCTACTTATTTCACTACTCTAGAGTAAACTTTCTAATCACTGCGCCACGAAGGCGACAATTTCTTTTATAAAACTGGCTCAGATGCATATAATTTTATGATTTCTGTGTTTATCTAATGTTTTAAAACACTAACTTGCTTAAAAAAGCCTTATTTTACAAACATTCCTCTAAAAAACTATATTCTAATCTGTTTGATTTACTTATTTCATGAAAAAAACTTACTTCGGACCATTTTTCAAATCTGATCGTTGTTTGTTTAATTACGTCATGAAAACACGAATGTGCAAGCACCAACGTAAACAAAGATTGGACTCTTGATTAGACAAAGTTTTGGTAAATAAAGCTTTTATATCCGTAACTTTAATCGTTTGTAAGACTAAACATTCGTTTGTTAAGTTGTTCCATGTATTCCTTGAATTTACACCACATAAAATTATTTATATTAGATCATATAACAATTTCTTTTAGTATATTCGAATAAGTTTTCATGCTATTTAGCCTCTGTATAATATCAGACTTTATCAAATGTCATTTTCGAAATATTACGAAACAGTTGTGGAAAGAAATACTATGTGGTTGTAAAAAAAACTTCAAAGAATGGGAATCGAAAAAGCATTAAAACTCGTTAGAACTTTACCAAGAGTGTCTCTTGGTAACATTAAAAATTCACCGATGGATCAAAAGAAAAAGGTTTGATTATTTAAACATTTCAAAACTGTTTACTCTAAGTAATGTCAGAAATATGACCAAGTCCAATGGAGGAAATTCGGCAGGCTCAGTTAGAAAGGCAATTTTAATGCAATAATTACATAATCATGTGATATATATTAGTATTGAAATGAAGTTTGTACTTTTGTGCCAAGGGTAAGCCCCCCTTATTATATGGGATATATTCAGGGACCGAAATTTTCATATCAGTTTATCAAGAACAAAGAGTTAATTCCCCTGGTCAGGTACAATTTCTTGATTAAACTACATGTATGTTATTGTAGCATGTCAAAACTTTATAACTTTGTAAAGCTACTCAAAATTGCACTTTATAAAGCTACTCAAAATTGCTTGGTAAACTTACTTCAATGCATTTTTTTACAAGTATGTTTTATTTAGCAATATTTTGATGATGCAAATGTAGGGATGAGCACATAAGTCATTAGTGTATTACTGAATACCATAAAACATACATATGATTCGCTATGTGAATCGTGTAAACAAGTTAATATTTGCTACTAACTCAATATGTACATGTAATAAAAGCTGGCATCTTACCTTTACAATGTTTATCAGGCAACAGTATGCAATGCATGATAAACACTTTTAAGATTAGTCCTTGCGCATAAACAACACACAGACAATACAAGTTTAGAAAACAGAAAATGGGAAAACATGCTCTCAGTAAGACATCAAGAGTAGCTGCAATAATGTAGCCCTCTCCGATTTTTTTTATCTGATATTTTCTGGAGAGGGCTACAATTCCATCGCATCTCCGTAATGGTGCAAATATATTTTTTTGATACGGGTGATTGGAGGCAAAATAAATTATTTTTACATTAAACTTACTTCTTATAAGACGGAATTTTTATTAACTGTCAACAACATAGCCTGTTAAACTCGAAAACCATGTAAAATAAATCTGTGTCTTTCCCAGCTGCAATATTCAGCAGCCATGACAGTTCACGCGTGACGTAGTGAGACTTTCGCTTGAAATTTGGAACAACCAAATAAAGCAAATGTCGATGTTTATAAACGATTGTGCTATAATATATTACAAAAACATCAATAAATAAAACCAGTTCAAGTGTTATTTTTGCACAAACAGCGATACGTATGCTTAAAATAAGGGAATTCCTAGTAGATCCGCTCCTATAGAACCTAAATTCTCATTGGCTGTCCCAAAATACAATCCATCAAGGTCAGTAAACATGGCGGATAAATTCAAGTTAAGCTGTTGACACACACGAAAAATAACCGATATATGGGTCGTTGTGAATATTTTTGGATCGATTTATGTTTTGCATAATTACATATTTGGATTCCAGGTAAGAGATAATAATAAAATAGCTGTCTACTGATAATTTGAGCCGAAATCCGTGCGGGAGTGATCCACTGCCGCATCTGCGCCATTATAGAGATCCTAAGGAGTTGTAGCCCTCTCCCAAAAAAAAAAAAAAAAAAAAAAAAAAAATCGGAGAGGGCTACATTATTGCAGCTACATCAAGAGCAGCACTGGACATCTAACACCGAACACGTGACGTGTCCAGTGAATGGGTAGACCAGGTTGTTGCATTGTAGATCTTGAGAAAACTGTGCAGAAAAAATCATTTAGATCAAACTGTGCACAGTTTGACTCCGAAATTTCTTTTCACTTAAGAATATAATTTTTTAAAATGATAGGACTGTTTGTTGTTCAATATGATAGAACCCTTAATTAAACACACTATGTTTCTTCTTCATTAATAAAAATTTCTCATGTTCATTGTAGAATTTGAAATTATACTTAAATGTCCTAGAAAAAACAAACAAAAAAAAAACAATATATCTGTGACAATGTTTTGGTGTAAATACCAGCCGGTACTTATCCTTATGAAAACAATGAAGTTTCTGTGGTAAAGCTTGAAGAGTAGGAGAATTCAAAAATTTTAGTTGATATTAATTTTTCTTCTTGCAGTTTGATCTTCGGAGAGGTTGGGGGAAAAACAAAACACATGGCAGAGGTCATAAAGGTCAGGGACAGAGGATGACCTTACCAAAATTAGGATTTGAAACAGGACACAAACCATTTTACCAAAGAGTTCCACAGGAACATTATTATGCAGGACATCAGTAAGATTTTAATGATAAACAATATTGTTGATATAAATATATAGAAAAGCAACTGTAGAAAAATACTCCTGTCTCTGTGCACTGATCCCTCTTGGCATGAGTTTAATGCATTAATTATCTTAAAATTGCAGCATATTGCATAATTACAAAAACCCCTTCAACAAAGTGAATATATAGGATGTGATGAGTGTAGATCCAAAATAAAATTGTTGATTATATTGTAAACTTGGATATTTATACATACTGTTCATGTTTTTTTTCCTTTGTTTATAAATTTAAATGCTAATATTCACTTGATTACTGGTAATTGAGCGTACTAGATCAAAACTAAACTAAACAAAAGCAAATATATTTTTATATATGTGACTGTTAACATGGTTAAGAAACATACTGAATTTGTTTGCAGTTTAAAGAGGCAGTACCCTCCATTATCTTTACTAAAGCTGCAGAGAATGATAGATCTGGGATGTGTCAACACGGACGAGGTCATCGACTTAACCTCCATATGCATGACTGGTCACTACCACTTTGATGTTGACAAACGTCACTATGGGGTTAATTTGACTGAACAGGTAGATAACACTTTCATTTTGACAAACATGAAATGCCTTAAGAAGTAATTTATAGAATGACATTCATTGTCCTATTATGTACACTTCCAGGGTGCTGAGATATTTGCAACACCTGTTTGTATAGAAGTTCAGTGGGCATCAGAACTAGTGATCGCCACAATTGAAAGATTAGGCGGGGTCATTATGACAAGGTTTTATGATCCTCTAAGCCTTACTGCCCTGAAAGATCCGGAAGCATACTTCAAAACAGGAAAACCTATTCCCAAATGCAAACTGCCCCCAACAGACGCAGTGGAGTACTATACTGACCCAAAAGTAAGGGGGTACCTAGCAGATCCAGAGAAAATAGCAGAGGAGAGAGTGGCACTTGCTCAGAAGTATGGATATGAACTGCCTGATTTATCCCAAAGTGACAAATTATCAATGTTCTTGAAAAGGAAGGACCCTAGACAAATATTCTTTGGACTTCAGCCAGGATGGATTGTTAATTTAGCAGACAGAAAAATTTTGAAACCCAAATCAGAATATTTACAGGAGTATTATAACTCATAAGATAATATAAAATTAAAATTATAAAAAGGATCAGGTGTTTTTATTGTATCGTGAAGTAATTGTTAAGTATCTATCTAATTTTTTTCAAGGACAAAAACAACAAAATAAGTTTTTGCATTTTTTAGCTAGTTTAAGTTAGAAACTAGAAGTTCTTAAGTTGTGCACCATTGAAAGAGTTCCTTGCCCTCTTGCAGTTTAGTGCAGAAATGTCAATATTGTTTGTGGATACTGATATTCTAACTATACTGGTCCCTAACGATAGACTATATTCTCCCTGAAGTGCTTTTGCCCTTACTGAATCTGCCAGTCTATGGAGTGTTTACCTTAGCAAATTGTGTCAAGGCCATATGTACCTCGTACATCTAACTGGCCAGTACAGTAAAACTAGTTTAGTACAAACACTGATAGTGCGAATTCACGGATATAGCGAAGTTTTCTTCTTTCCCCAACTACACAAATTTAATGAATTCCTTGTACAGATATAACAAATTACGGATGTAGCAAGGTAATTTCACAGGTCTTGGTGACTTCGTTATAACTGAGTTTTACTGTATGTTATTGCCCAGGTCAAGGTCTTATCTTAAATGCTAAGGTCAGTACTGGGGAAATGAGATGTAAATGAGCCCAGAAGAGAACACTGCTCAGAATGCTTAAATTTGAATACTGCAAATGTTTTTTTCTCCACAAGGTCATAATTCTGCAGAAATGATACACAATTTCTGTTCAACTCACAGGTGGAAAATTCAAAATAGATTTCTTGAATGCCATTGTTTTTTAAGCTCAACTGAGCTGAAAGCTAAAGTTAGCTTTAGATCACATTTTGTCCGTCGTCCGTCTAGCTGTCCATCTGTCAGTAGTTCTGTGTGTAACGCTTTCGTTTTCACACAATATCTTGAGAAGCCTTCGAACTTTTGCAACGAAATTTTACACAATAACTCCACGGCCTAACACTGAACAGATTTGTGCTTTTTTCTAGCAAATGTGCTTACATGAGTGATGTGGCCCATGGGCCTCTTGTTTGAAAGGAATATTTTATTTCAGCCAAGATCTATCATTATCTGCAGAGACAAAAAGTGAGATTGTCCGAGTTTTATGGCACAGGAGTCTAGAGCTTGATCTGCTTCATTTCATTTTTAAATAATTGAATTTTAGTTGTTACACAACATTTGATTGGGTAAAAGATTTAATCCATTTTGTATAACATAAGTTGCTCATGTCATAATGATTTACGTCAAAAACGTATTACCCAGCTTGACGCTTCTTTTAAGATATGCTCAATTTGAAGCCTCTTTCTGGAGGAAAAAATGTTGCATTGTCTACACTAAAATTAAATTATAAGAAATGAAGCTTATTTCAACTTATGTTATACAATATAACAAAACTTCGGGCAGTTTACGCTTTTTTATAACCCACTTCGCTGTTTAAAAAGTGTAAACTGCCCCAAGTTATGTTGTATTGTATAACATAAGTTTGAATAAGAGTCATTCCTTAAATTTAAGTGGTGACTTCTATTGCCTCAAATCTTTTTCACTTATCATACCCATTTCACACATATTCATGTTTACCAGGGGGGTCAGCGTTTTCCAGGGGGGTCCATGGTAACTTTTTTCTTGTTTTAGTATATACATTTTTTAACCTGGTAAATTCCAGGGGGGGGGGGGGGGGGGGTTGTTCCTGATCCCCCCCCCCCCCCCCCCCCCCCCCCCCCTCTAGATCTGTGCATGTAGCTACAGCTTGGAAGAATGTGCATATTAGTTGAAGCTATACATTTCATTACATAGTAGTTTTCTTTCATTGAAGAAATCTTATCTCAATTAGGAAATATAATGAATTTGATACCTGAAACCTCTTTACCATACGTCAAAAAATTCTAATTTAAAGAAGTTTTGAATTGTAATTTATTTCCAACTCATTAACAAATAACAACATAATAATCAATTAAACATTAACAAATACCAGTTCATGTGGGACACTGCAACAAAATCTTAATGCACAATATGCATGTACCGCCATCATCATCAACTTTGCAAGAGACAATAAATGTACGACCAACATCATAAATTTTACAAGTTACAATAAGTGTAATTTTGCAATAAATAAATAATTTTATACAAGTATCTTCATCGATTATACCAGCTTATAATAAATTTCTTCTCAAAAGACAAAGAACTTTGGATTTATGATGTTCATCAAGGGTCATATTCCATGTATACACACAATAATTACATCTCCTCAGATGACTTGTACATGTAATAGTCATGCTGATATATTAAATAGGTAATCAAATACTGTATTTGATAACCATTGAATTTACAAAATAGTCCAATCAGATTCAGGTCATTTTTTATTTCTTAATTACTCCTTTTAAATCCAGAATTAAAATACTGTATAGCGGGTTTTCTTGGCGGGTGTAAAATTTGGCGCTTTCCATACTTAAAATAAAGGTATGCCAATAATTTTGGCGTGATTTATTTTAGTGGACACAGGGTTTCAATTCTTTGCAGATGAACACAAAGAAGAGAACAGAATAGCGATTCATATTTTAGTGGGCTACCATCAAAACGCCAAAATAAGCACCCGATATATGGTAGTCTTTTGTTTCATTTCATTCAGTTTATAAAAGTAAACAGCTGATCAACAGTATCTCAAATAGTAGGGACATGTCAAAGCAGGTTGAAAATCCCAATGTCTTTATGTATTTTACACATAATATCTCAATTTCTTATTTTCTTTGTCTCATTGAGTCCAAGATGATATTATAGAAAGAAAAACAAAATTAATTCTCATCAGAACTTTTCAAATGTATGCTCTAGTTTTCTAACAAAATCAGATCAAGCTTGGCAAATTTAAGTATTGTATGTTAAATTTTCTAGTAAAATGTCTTGACAATCTTTTATCTTATAATGCAGCATTTCAGAAGACAAAACTTTCTGATGATTTTTAAAACAAATGTCTGTGTCAAGAAGGATGACCAATCTTATACACATAATTATCCACTCCTCTTTTAACAGAGGAATTTACTATTGCACAATAAAATTACAGAAAAACACTGCTAATAAACAATAAACATAAAACATGTTATTGAAAAAAGAAAGTCAAACCATACCAGCACACATGTCATTTTACCAGCATTCTGAGAGTTACTGTATATTAAAACAATACAAAGTCTTCTATCAGTGTTGGCCATTGATCTGTCAAAAATTAACCGAGAAAAAAATGCAAACTTGATCCATTTCTCATTAAGATAAACTCAAATTAGTCACATACCAAAATTCCGCTCAATATAATACATGTATTTAAACTCTGGGTAAACAAAAGGTAGGGGAAACCAAGTGGAACAAACAGACTGACAGAGGGACAAATGAACAGAATGAGAAAAAAAAACCTAGTCTCCTCTGGCCTCACAAGTAAGTGTCAAATAACAGCAAGTATAAAATTGCTTGTCCCAACTGAATGAATCATGATATGCCATATTATGCAAAAACAAAGTTACACATGTTCACATGCTCAAAATCCAAGAAATGTGTCTCATAATTCACCTCCTCTTCAAAATGTCAGAAATATCAGACTGAGTGTAATAAAACTTGACAGAGGTACTCCATTCATAACACAACAAATTCCTCTGAGTCCAGTGTCTGTGATCGCACTCGTCCGTTCTGGTCCATGTGGACATGCTTTACCCTCAGTAACCTGTCGTTCTCTGCCGTGTCTACCTGAACGTCGTAACTGTGGCCTTCACTGAAGACAAACATTGGGTATGACAGTCTCTGCTTAGGTGGTGCCACCATCTACAAGAAATCAGCAAAAGTTATTTTCTTCTGAATGTATCTATCACATTGAAAAATCTTCTTTTACAAATGGTTACTTATACTCAAAAGAATCAAGGTACCAAATGTACATATATACATGTATGAAAAAGTTCTTGTAAAATATACTTGCTACATCTCTACAATATTAGGGTAGAACACCTATTTTCAGAATTAAATGTGAATTATTAATTTAATCCTTATTCATATAAATTCTTCCGCAAGAGAACTTCCAAGTACATTTTGGGAACTTTTTACGATATTCGTCAACAAGCATGTTGGGTTGCTACACTAATTTTGTGTATCTGAAAGAATTTTCACAAAAGGTAAGACAGTCATTGGTAACAAAATGAATAGTCATATGGATGAATTATGTTTTATTTTTGGATAGGGATGGGGGTTAGGGGAGATAAAAAATTATATCCCATTGTTTCTGAGATTTCAAAAAATAAGAACAGGTAGAGCAATTGCAGATATTCTAAAATTCTCGAAGCCTTTTAGCTGGTCACATAATATCTTTAATATACTGTAGGAAGATCTTGTTTCCATTTTTTATTTCTTTACCTCCTCTGTCTGTTGTACAAACTTCTCAAATTCCTTTTGATCTCTGCAGTAGAAACCAATGGTACAGCTAGGGTCTATCTTCTCTATCGATACTTTCCTTGGGGACATGCAGTGATATGACTGTAAATGGAAAATATGTATAAACACTAGTACATAAAAAGTCCAGCTATAACAAGGACATATTCAGTGGTACTTAGTTTATAAGAGCCTACCTGAATTGGGAATTGCCTCTCCCTTGTGTCAACTACATCTTGGCAGTAATGTGGGTCTAGATATATCAACTTGTTCTCTGAAATGTTGTAAACGTAGATTTGAATTGAATTTGAAATGCACAAGCATTAGTCTAGCTAATGACAAAGAATTTTAAGGCTGAACTTGATCCAAATTTTAGCTTAATCTTTTAAAACTTCTCAAAATAAGATGCACCTCTTCTATTTGAAGAAAGGAGGAACTACATGCAAGGCAAATATATGTGCCTCTTCACTGTATAGGCTTACTAGTAAAATTAACAGACTCCAGTTTTTGTCTCTCTAACAATTATTAAACTATAATATTGCACTCTTTAAACTTCCTTTACATAAAAATGTTGAAAAAAAATTAAAAATTACCTTGCCACCCAACAAAGTAGAGTGAATGTTTGGGTTTCCCACCAATAATCCCGATACAAGAATCCTGAGAAAGCAGACCCTTCACACAAGGGATGTATACTGGATTAAGCTGTTCTCCTCCAAGCCTGACTGGAATAAGGATTATAACTGCTCGCTTCCATTCAAGGTCTGAAGTGCCTGGATTAGATTCGGATTCTGACTCTGAGGAACTGGTAAACTTAGTAGCTGTCCTTGACCTTGTACAACAGAGGTCATATACATCCTGCTTATACACTGAAACAAAAAAAAGCAATGAAAAAATATTTCTTATTCCTACAGTAAACAAAATGATGAAAATACTTGATCTATAGTAAGCGCCATCAAATAGAAATTTTCACACTTAAACAGATCATTATGCTTTTTTGTTCTTATATTCATTTCATCCAAGTTTTAAATACTTTTGAGATACTAAGTGTTGGATAAATTTCAGCTATGTATGCTGTCACAATTTTTTCACAGAAATTTGTCAAACATACTTAAAATATATTCAGAACACACAAAGAAAAGTAATCTGCTTATTTTTTGATTGAACAGATTTTGACTCCTGATGAAGTAAAGTAAGTTTTCAGGATAAAAATAATATGCATCTCAAGTTTATAATAATATGCATCTCAAGTTTATCTAAATCAACTGCTTACCTGTGCAATCCTGAGAGACATAAATGCAGAGATCATTGAGTACTGTCTGTGTTCTTTGTCCTTTTATCATTGTTTCCCTGTTAGAAAATAAAGGAAAACTGTAGGTAAATAAATTATCAAGTATTTGTGCATAATTTGAACAAAAGAATTCAGGACTCTGAAATGTTTCAATAAGCTTGGTGTCATCAGCTTCTCTTCAGAATACGTTGAAGTATAATGTATAACTATGTCATTAAATTCTCCTGGGTAGAAAAAATAACAGTTTCTAAATGAAAGAAAAAGTGAGCAAGCTCACATAAGCAAGCTCACATACCCCTTGCTCCCCCAAAAATCGAAGTGCTGACATTTCCGGAAAAAAATAAAGGAATCAGAATTTTCTGGCAATATGCACATCTACACATTGTGTGTGTCTTAAATATGTGCAAATAAATTATCTAAATATTTGACGGGATTCTGTGTTACGGTTTATGAGGAGTTGTGCTGACAAACTGTTCATCTCTTTATTACATTTTTAATTGTGAAATACTGTAATTTATTCACTGAATAAAAATGATATCCTGTCACAGTGTGAAAGGATATCAAAATGATATCCTGTCACAGTGTGACGAATATCAGAAGTGCGGGAAAACTCTCGATTTCCCTTCCCATAACGAAGATTGTTGTAAAAAAAAATCTCCCTTGACCTAATATAAGTTTGATTGAAATAAATAAACCATTCTGACAGCGAATAAAACTTCAAAATTACGAAAAATATATTGCTAAATCCATGTTTACAGTGTTTTCACCTCACTTAGCTATGATGTCTCAACCGCTCAACTATGACGTCATGTAGCCTATGACTGTATTACAAAAAGACAGAGGCAAAGGAAAAAAAAAAAAATTAAAAATGTAATAAACAGAAAATTCAATGTTTTGTAGTTGAATATGGAATTTATTTCACTCGTGAGACAGGATTTTTTGATATTTTCACTCGTGCTTCGCACTCGTGAAAATATCAAAAATCCTGTCCCACTCGTGAAATAAATTCCATATTCAACTACAAAACATTGAATATCCTCTATATATTCAAGATATGGCCAAAAATCTAAATTGAAAAGTGCAGAAATTCCAGGAAAAATTACAGGAATCAGAATTTCCTGGTAATATGCATATTTACACATTGTGTCCTAAATATCTGCAAAGTTTGACGAAATCATATGCAGCGATTTAAGAGGAGTTGCGCTGACAAACTGTTCATCTCTATATTCAAGATATGGCCAAAAATCTAAGTTGAAAAGTGAGGAAATTCCCAAAAAACATAAGGAATCCGAATTTCCTGGTAATATGCACATTTACACATCGTGTCCTAAATTTCTACAAAGTTTGACAAAATTCTGTGCAGCGGTTTATGAGGAGTTGCGCTGACAAACAAACAGGACTGACTGACACTCTGATTGACTGGTCAAAATCATTATACCTCACGCAACTTGTTGCGTGGGCAAGTTGCTTGGGGTATAATTAATAAAAAATCTGTTAATGCTAAATTTTACCTCAAATAAAATTTTCATAATCAGCTTTGTTTTGTTTCTTAAGTTTAAATAACTTGAAATGAAAGATAAAACATTGTAGGCTAGCTAATATATTATTCACATACTTGAGTATGTGAGCAACTGAGGCTGGACCAAACCACTCTCCAGGCTGCTTCCCCAGTGTTTTCCCCACCTCAACTAAACGATGCATGGAGAACGGAGACTCGTCACACAAATAGTCTCCAAACCAGCGGATAATCTGTTTTCTGTATGTCTCCTGTTCCCTCGTTTGATCACTGAACACATTCCAATCTAAATGAACAAACATGTGGCATATAAACTCTAAATAGGAACAACATGTATTTCAATAGGAGTCAAATAATTTACCAAGTAATAAAATTTTTTATAACTTCTAGCCCAACTGTTACTGACTGTAATTGGAATCAATTCTATAGTGTTTGTTTTTCATTGTATTTATACTCTATTGTTACATTCTGTATATTAAACAAACCTCTTCCCAAGTAGTGTATGATAAAGGCTTTGGCAAGCATCATCTGGCCACTTCTTAACATACATCCCCAACCACAATCTGACGTTAATTTGGTGCCTGGGATGGGGTGGAAGTCTTGTCTGTAGGTGAACCAAAGGAGACTGGAGAAATCCTGTTTGAATCGCTCAAGGTTTGGGACCATTCTTGTTCTCTTTCCTCTTTGATTGTCATCATCTAAGAGATCTTTGGGAAAAGAACCACACACACAAATAAGATTGAAGTACTTCCATGTCAAAAGTACTCTTTATAATTGAAAGCATTAAGAAACTTTTTCGAAAACAACTTGAATATGACAAGCTACTCGCCAATGATTTCTTATTCTGAATTATTATCAAGATTTTATAATAGATAATATCAGTATTATTTTTAAGCCATTATGCAACTTTCCAAAATCAAACATTTTTCAACAGATTCCATACAACTCACCACTAGGCTTTATATGATAGAATTTTCCCAAGAGCCAGACTGGGCTGTCAAATCTAAAAGTTGTCTTTGTCTTTAATGTCCATCCTAAAAAGCACATTACCATGATTACATAGTTAGAAAAATCCAATATAATTTTCAAGTAATACTCACCAAAATGAAGTTGAAAAACATAATTTTGATTTTACATAAAATCATTATCATAAATATATCTAAACAAATGAATGAAACGGTTAAAATATGTACATGAGCATGTACTGACCATATTTCACATTATTCCACATGGACATAAGTTTGTTTTTAACTTTTTCCGACGTTTCACCATGTTCAGAATATACTTTCGGATGTACATAATGCGGTGGATATGTCCTTGTCTTTGAAGTGACTGCAGTCAAATCAGGTAAGCTATGAAAGTCACTGCGGTCATCATACTCTAAATTATTTTCCAAGGCACTAACCGTGGAATACGACTCCCTTAGATAGGAAGTGTGGTCTTCTGGTAAAGACAAGTACACATTGCTTATGTGATCAAATGATCCATCGTCAATATCAAATGGGTCACTAGTATTTATGTCAAACTGTACACCAACAAGTGTCCCTGAAGCACTTTTCCCAGACACTGGTGGGTGATCCGCGGGGAGTCCAGTGTGGTGGCTTTTCTCACGCAGTTCCTGACCCTTATCTTTACTTGAGGTAGGATTACGTACCGCAGATTTTGACAATAAATTTGATGGATTTAAAAGTAGCTGATTTGAGGAATTCTTTTTCTCCTTTACCACCACAGGAGTGTCGACGCGTGATGCTCTTCTGTCATTTCGAGTCGACACATCCGTTATTTCATCGGTTATTTCGCTCCACGAATCTAGGGAGGCCACATCCTCAGAAACTCGGCGATTGTATCGTTGGGGATTTTTACGACTCATCTCACATCATCTTTTAGCCTTTAAATAAGTCCAAATTGATTTAGTTGTCATTTTAATTACCTCTGTTGTACACCGTCTATTAACTTTTTTCACATGATTAACTCTGTCTAAATTTAGAATCTTTCATATAGGCATAAATTATTCCGGAATAATTATATTTTTTTCTTCGTTAATTTTTTTCTCGAATTGAAACACAAAAAGGACTAAGCAATTTAAGCTGAAATTATATTAATAAAACATACAAACATTGTTATGATTCTATGGAAAAGTGAAACACAGCGAATGGAAATAATCTAGGATTGACTTGTCGAATTTCGCACTTTCGTTTTCGATCAACAATTAAGAGAACAGAATGAACAGCTTACATAAACTTTATAGAAGCAATATTTTATTGTCCAATTATATATGTGTGCGACAATATGGGGTGTTTGGAAATATTTGGAAAAGGTTTAGAGGGAAAAAAGAATCTGACGAACAATTTTTTGTTGGTGAAGATCAGCATGGAAATAGATATTATGAAAAACAACCCTTTCCTGATGCAAGTGTACGCATTACAAGACGATGGATAAAATATTACGGTGTAGCAGACGAGGACTCTAAAAAAGATGCAATTCCTTTCGTTCCTGAGGACGCAGAAATTCCAGTGGAATGGAAATCGTGGCTTCAGAAGAAAAGGAAATCGCCTCCCTTGATAGAAGAGATTCTAAAAAATGAAGCTTTAAAATTAAGAACTATACAACGAGCAAAGGAATTAGAGGAAAAGGAGAGGGCAGTGTCTAGTTCAGAATCGGTGTCTAGTTCCCCAAATCCATTTAAAGAGGAGGAATTCCCTGTGTATCCTGAATATGAGACAAAGATCGGCGAATACAGAAGTGACTATCTGACACAAGAAACTGACAAAAAACATAAAGGATCAAAGAATAGATAATGGAACAAAATTCTTAAATGTTGATGTTAATTTCATCTTTTTTTTGTGCATTTAGATTTGTAACTTAAATAAATATACAATTTTAATATTTTCAATTTTATTGAAGTTATACTTACATGTCAGAGTGGAAAACATTACCTCTGTTGATACTGTCTTGATGTGTCAGACTAATACTGCATAAGAAACTTTATTCTACCATTTTTAGTTTACATTACTGTCTCTTAACTAAAACACTAACTAGAAATACGTCCATAGGACATGAATGCCCCGCTGAGGGTATATTAGTAAAGCAACATGAAAATTTGTATTAGTGTATAAGAATTGATCAGAATATCTTGAATAGTGATGCAATTGAAATGCTTACATTAGTATGTATCAGCATATAAAGTTTGACACTAATATCATTAAAGTGAGGTCAAGGTCAAAAGAAATGCCAATGTCAAAAACTGTTGATTCAGTTGAAAAGTTCTAATCAGTATGTATCAGCATATGACATTTGATAAAAATATTATTAATGGTTTCTTAAAAAAAACTGACTTAAACACAAATGGATAAAAGTGAGGTCAAGGTCAAATGAAAGGTCAAGCTAAAAACTGATGATGCAATTGAAATGCTTACCTCAATATCTATCAGCTTATGAAGTTTGACACTACTTTATGAAAAGTGAGGTCAAGGTCAAAGCAAAGGTCAATGTCAAAACTGTTGATGCAGTTGCATATCTCTCATCAATATGTATCAACATATGAAGTTTGATAAAAATATCTAAAAATGATGTCTTTTATTAAAACTGACTTAAATACAATTTATTAAAAGTGACATCAAGGTCAAATAAAAGGTCAAGGTCAAAATCGTTGATGCAGTTGCTTATCTCTCTTCGATATGTATCAACATATGAAATTTGATGAAAATATCTAGAAATGATGTCTTTCATTAAAACTGGCTTAAACACAATTTGATAAAAATTAGATCAAGGTCAAATAAGAGGTCAAGGTCAAAATTGTTGATGCAAGTTGAATTGCTTACATCAGTATGCATCAGCATATGAAGTTTGACACTGATTTAGGAAAAGTGAGGTCAAAGGAAAGGTGAAGGTAAAAATGTTGATGCAGGTGAATTGCTCTCATCAATATGTAACAGCATATGAAGTTTGATAAAAATATCTTGAATGGTATCTTTAAAACTGAGTGAAACACTGCTTAAAGATAAGTGAGGTCAAAGGTCAAAGGAAAGGTCAAGGACAAAAATGTTGATGCAGTTGAATAGCTCTCATCAGTATGTATCAACAAGTGAAGTTTGATAACACCATCTTGAATGGTATGTTTAAAACTGAGCTAAACACTAATTTAAGAAAAGCGAGGTCACGGTCAAAGGAAAAGTCAAGGCAAAAAAATATTGATGCAGTTGCAAAGATCTCATCAATATCTATCAGCATATGAAGTTTGATGAAAATATCTTGGATAGTTTCTTTGAAACTTAGCTTTGAACAGAGCTTAACACAAAGTGTGACGGAAAGACAGACAGAAGGACGGAAGACGGACATGACAAACACTATATGCCCTGGCCATATTCATGGCGGGGCATAAAAATTAAGAACATATGTACATGTGTAGATACATGGCTATGTTGCTAGCTTGCTAGAGAAACAAAACTAACAGTTTTGAAGAACAAAACTAAAAGTATGATAATGCTTGATGTATATTGTAGTCACGTAGTTCTTTTAAAAGATGTTTAAAATACTTTCATGTACATCCAGTCCAACCGTATAAGTGTTTGCAGAATTGTCCATGCTTCAAAAATTGGACTAAAATAATGTGGCTAATTTCATAAATATTACAGACCCATTTAAATGAATATATATTTTCAATTTACATTATACATGTAATAGTCCTTGGAAACTTTTGGTTCAAGATGAATTTATTCTGAATTTCCAGTAGGATATAGCTTGTCCGTAGACTCACAAGATCATCCATCCAAAGATAAACATGAAGCACAAGTTGGGAGACATTCTATGTATTGTTAAAGTTTTAAGCGTCCACTGAAAAAATGCTGGTATTTTAAATTTGGTCCAAGTAGATACAATAAACTAGTTTCTTGAAAATTAATAGACTTGATCCATATATGAAAAAAAAAAATACAGAATATGAGTTCTGAAAGACATGTATATTTATTTGAAATACTTCAACCATTACATATTTAACATAGGCATCATGATTGATGAAAAATTATAATTAATTTCATTATGTTCATTTTAATATTAAGAAACTAAATTTTATAAAAGGGAAAAATAAATAGATGTACATGCATATAAAATCTGCTTTTGTAGCAAAAAATTGTCTACTCAACAAAAATGAAAGCAATTAGCTGAATTCATGAAAAATTTACCAGAAAAGATTAATATAGGTAGTTTACATGTACTCCATAATTTTGTTTCTGGAATTTCTTAATTCGACTCCATGCACAAGTATAACAAAAAATACACCGATTGGAATGGTCTAGTCTTAAGTTTTTATAGATACTTTGATCAGCTGAACCTCTCTGTCAAACAATAAGCATACTGTCATTTAATAGATGGGTCTAATATTCTGGACTACTCTCTCTCTTTGGTTTACCAAGTAAGTATGAATCCATTGGAAGAAGAGTGTTCTGGGTTACACAATCTACAAAAAGAAAAGGAACATTTTTTTCTTATAAAATGTTTGAATGGCTAAAAGGATGGCTGATAAATCATGATGATAGGTCAGTGACTCTAGCCATGACATTCTTTTAAATTGCATTAGTGTTAAATTCAATACACATGCACCTCAGGCCTCTAAAACTGAACTTACCTAATATCCAGAGTGGGTTGACACTGGTTTTCTCTGGCAAGAAATCAGAACCGACATAGATATCTGCTTTTGATGAAGAGCTTGTCACCTGTTGGTTGTAAAATATAGTACATTGTAACAAGACTGCCAATGGTTAATACAGCATATTTCCAATATTACATGTAATAAAAAGATGTGTAAAACTGTCAAATCAATTGACCAGGGTAAAAGACAGAAATTTTACTGTTATGATTTTTTTGGATTCAGATTGGAGTTCAGAAAACCACAGCTCTTTCAAGAGCTTTAAATTACCTTGCCAGCACATCTCTGGATCAGTTCCATTAGGTGATGTCGAGGTGGAACAGCCTTTGGGGTGATATAGAAAACACCCATGGAACCAAACAACAGCTGGGGGGCATTTTCTTGTGATGTTTGTCGACTAAAGCGGGTTTCCTAAACATATATTAAAAATATTTTAAAAACATAGATTATAAGAGATTTAAAAGCCAACCTCAGCAAATATCTTTCAATAGTGCAGTTTCACATCAAAGATATTTCTTGTAGCATGCATCCCTAAATGCGACATTTAGAAAGTTTGTTCTGGGTATGATTTGAAAAAAAAACTTGGGAATCAAGGAAAGACTGATATAAAAACTAGTTTGCACTTGAAGTCAATATACATTATCATCTGAATATTCAGTGCCCTGTAATTTTTTGTCCCCCGCTTGAAAAGTGGGGGATATTAATTTGGGTTTGTCCGTCCGTCCGTCCGTCTGTCCGTCCGTCCGTCTTTCTGTCTGTCTGTAACGCTTTCGTTTCCACACGATATCTCGAGAACCCTTTGAGCTATTGCAATGAAATTTAGCATAGCAGCTCCCTATGGACTAAAGAAGACCCCTATTGATTTTGAGGTCAAAAGGTCAAAGGTCAAGGTCATAAATAAGCAAATTCTGTCTGTTATAACACTTTCGTTTCCACACGATATCTCTAGAACCATTTGAACTATTACAATGAAATTTTACATAAAAACTCCCTGTGGCCTAAAGAAGACCCCTATTGATTTTGAGGTCAAAAGGTCAAAGTTCAAGGTCGTAAATTTATACATTCTGTCTGTGTGTAACACTATCATTTCCGGGCGATATTTCAAGAAGATTTTAAGCTTATTCAATGTAATTTTATACCAAAACTCCCTAGGACCTCTCTCACCTCTCTCAAAGTGCCCCACCCCGTTTGTTTTATTAGTAATTACATGTCGCTATTTGTAGCACAGGGGCATGAGGAGAGTTATTGCATATAAAACAGGTTCTCAGCGGACTTTATGTTCTTATTTCATCTATTAGAACTGTTTAATAAAGGCTAAATAAATCAAACACCATGGATTGTGTAAAATTTTGAGAATACCGAACATCAAAACATGAATATATACATGTATGTGACTTCAATTCTGCATATACTTCACTCCGTGTAAAGCGACTCCGTGGTCTAGTGGTTATGTCTCTCGCTTCAAATGTGAGAGGTCCCGGGATCGAATCTCGGTCGGACCGTTCTTTTTCTCTTTTTTTTTTTTTAAATACTTTTTTTTTTTTTTACTAAATGATAGTATTCAGCATGTGAAATGAAAAATTTATGAGGTTATAAAATCACCATTACAGTGTGATAAATATTCCATATGAAAAAATCTTCTATACACATAATAAAGAATAAGCAATCAAATCTTTATATGCATATTGACATACATGCATTTTATTTCCTTCAGTATACATGTATACATTTAATAATTCTACAAATTCAGTCAGGGGGAGCCGACTTTTTCCCTAAGCGGGGGACACGAATTCTCTGAATTAGCTTGTTGCTATTTATGAACAAATGAACATTAAAAAATGTAGATGGGTAGCTTATTTTAATTATCACTCTATACTGATACCTGAGCTGAGGGGAACCAGTCTGTGACCTCGTAACCTTCCTCTGGTAACCACCTCTGGGCCTCCAATGATTCCATGACCTAACAATGACAAAGACAGGAAAGATTTAATAATGATTAAGTACCATATCTAATGATTTCTTTTATTTGTTGTCATATGAAAAATTGTATGTTAATGCATGATTTTCCAGCTTTCTTAGATGAAAGCACTATATTTGATAAAAACAGATACATGTAAATATCACCATAAATTATAAAATAAAAATACATGCATACTATTCTTCCTGATTGTCATTTACTTGAATGTGGTTGAATAAACATTTACGTAGATTAGGATTCAAAGAGCTAGCATTTATAACTCAAGCAAATTTTAATATACTCTGTTAGTCATGTCATGTTTGCATCATTAAAACAGTCTTCTATTGAACTGTTGCTCAATTTTAATTTCTGCAATTAGTTATCAATTCAATAATTTTATAACAGATCTGTAGAATAATATCATTGGCATACTAACCCATTCCTTTCTCAGCACCCAACACCCACGAGAAATGGCATGGAGGATGTTGAGTGTTCTACGTGGGCCACCGCACACTACATGAGTTGTGAAATCATTGACATTGTCAGTTATAGTAAAGCCCTTCAATCTCTTCACCACTGAAATCACAATATCCTGTTCACTGGAATGAAAAACATTTTTCCCCTTCAAGAACATATAATACATGTATAAATGACATATACACTGTATATTAAGCTTACTCTGTTGGAAGAAGATAAAGTTGCCACAACATTTATTATTTCAAAATCAAGGTACTGTAACCCTCATAAGGCTGTAGGATGACTTACTGAGAGTGAAGACTTGTCATTACTAGTGATGGTCGCTGGGGACTAGTCTTGGTGAAGGATGGATTCCTTTTCATCCTCTTTATCTTGGTACCCTCCTCACTGGTAGAACTCGTATCACTTTCATTGTTCAGAGAGGAGAATGCTGAATCTGACAGAGCCTTCTTTTTCTTCCTCATCCTCCTGTTGTTGAACTTGGTTCGTAGATTAAATTCGTCAATACTCTGTCTCGGTGGGGCTGTGCCAAACATATTAGAACAAGTGGATTCACTGAAAACAAGTGACATTGACGAACCAAGTGTGGTCTCATTTTCTGACACATCTCTGTTATCATGGTCTGTAATATCTTTCTGCACTAAGACTTTGTCTTCACCGGTAGAAACTGTACTGTTTGGGTATTTAAACGATGAACTCTCCGACTTATCTGGTCTGCTTCTCTTTGGGGTGTCAGATGCCTCATCTATGGACTGCTTCTTCCTCTTCTGGCCCTGTGCTTTGGTGTCCTTCTTTTTGTTCTGTGTTGATGTCATATCTGGAGTTTTATCTAAAAGCTTTCTGAAGACTTTCTCTGAACACATGGTAGGCTCTATCAAAAAAGAATGTGCCTCCATGTCACTGGCAGCAAGGAGTCTTTTCTTTGGCTTCAGTATCTTAGTGTTTGGCTTCTTTGGTTCAGTATGAACCTTTCTAGATGCAGAATCTACATTTTCACAATCAGTATTTTTATTACTATCTAAGTGATTTTCTATTTCTTTGGCAGTAAATGCAGATGATTTCCTCCTATTCTTAATTTGTGTAAAAGTTTTGGTAGCACCTTTTCCATCAACTGAATTTCCATTGCATGTCACTGTAATGTCATCTTGTTTAGAAGCATTCCTACTGTCAGTGCATATATTTTCCGAGCACTGATTTCCTGACACTTCATGATGTTCTTCCTGAAGTTTTGAATTTTCACTGTCTGCCTTCCTGTCCGATTCCAGAAATGTTTCAATCTTTTCCAGTGATTTCTTTAATGTCTGTACAGGTTCCTCCACCGCTGGTTCAGGCCTCAGTGACGTCACCTGAACTGACCTCCTCCTAGAGCTAATCCTCCTTTTTAAAGGTTCGTCATTTGTCAGTACATCAGTGTTTGTGAAACTTACTGCAGCCATTGACTTTCTTCTCTGTGTTGATTTCTTTTTTCCTGTATCTTTAACATTTGTGAATGAGGGCAATGAATTTCTTGATTCCTCTTCCTTTTTCTTTTGAAAATTTTCAATGTTGTCTTTGAAGCAGACGGATGCTACTGATTTCCGTCTGCTGCTGGCTCTAACCTTATTGCCCTTGTTTGATGATGTCACCGGATGGCTGTCTTCTTTAAATGTAACTTTTGCATCCTTGACAGTTGTTTCAGGACTACTTAATCCTTGCCCACCCATACCTGCTGTATGTTGAATTTAAAGATTTTCAGTTTCTATTCTTTTGTGAAATAGTTACAAAATACATTGATGAAAATAAACTTCACAGCTAAACAATACATGAAGATAAGATTATGATGAGGCATGCCTATGCTGTGCTCTGAATTAAATGTACATATATTAAATAGGGATGTCAAATCGGTCAATTTTTGATACTCGGTTACTCGGACGTTTTTCCGATCGAGTACCCGGGTACTCGGTAAAAGTGTAAATAAATATGAACAAGTTAATTGATAACTGTAAAACATTGTAAACTCTTGTAGAAACAAAACCGATGGGAGGTTACCTGCAAATGCGTTGTAACAATTATGACCACTTTGTAACCGACGAAATTTAATCTAACATATTTTTTAAGTTCAATTTATTTATCAGATAAATACGAGAAATAAAATCAGAAATGGTTCACAGTGTTTTTGTTTAAAAAATAATCTGTTCCGTAATTGTAATGTAACTCTTTGGTGCGTTTGATGTCCAAGTGATAAGTTGTCTGAGCTATATGTACGGTATAAACTTGATCAAGTTATCCTATAACAGAGCTGATTTATACGATCTTCGTACACTTTTTGATCCTAGATTTCATAGAATTACGATACGGTATGTTGTAGTTTAGAGCAACGATGGACATAAGATTTTTAAAGCATTTGCATTAATTGGCATGTAATCAAATGCATCCAAATCAACATTCGCACGTGCAATATCGTCTGTCTCTTTCCCGAGAATTTACGGCTTCTTGGAGAATTGACAAAATTATTTAATTTGTTTAAATATAATGGACCTTAAACGATGTTCAATGAAAACAAATAATTAAAGCAAACTAAATATAAGGGAAGACGACAGTCGAAGGTGAGAAAAGCCCGGGTAGGTACATCAGGTGTTTGGTCACGATAATTACTGTATAAACACTGCTACAGGCGATAAAGGTCATTTAGAGGCATAGGAAACCCTAATTACTGTATGTACAAGTGCAATGGACATTTTACGTTTTAAAACCGATGTTTTAATGCATTAATAAATAAGCTTAGAAATATTTAAAAATATACATCCGAGTAACCGAGTACCGATTTTAGTATTCGATACTCGGACGTTCGATCGAGTACCCGGTTAACCGGGTACTCGTTGACATCCCTAATATTAAATGATTTGTTCAAGTGAAGGAGCTGAGCTCAGAGTTGTTTTATAGTAAATGTACCGGGTACTTACTGAAAAGTCTTCTTTGGAGGGGTTCATCAAATTCTGGCTTGTCATACTGAGCCTCAGTCATATTTTCATCATCTGAAGAAAGACAGAATAATATGGATCCAACTACCTGTGAATGTGTATAACATGAAATAAATAATACATGTATATATTGAAATACTATTTCTGCAATTGTATAAAACTAATGTTACGGTACTATATACTGCTTATGCAATAAGTAAATTTGTTTGATTGCATTTGAATTTTCAACAATCTATGAATCAATTGAGATGCTTAACATCTTAGAGAACCCTCCAATCTACATGTTTATTTCATTGCTTTACCATTATCTTCCCCAATCTGTCTGCCAAGTTCCTTCATCTTGGCTCTCATGCTAGGAGGCGTGTCTGGAATGGCTAATCTGATTGGTGTAAGGATTTCACCATTAGAAGTCTGATAAAAAAAGACAAAAAATTATAATCTTTGCACAACTGAACACAGTGAATACAGAATGGAAAACATCTTTTTGTTTCTTTGATTCTTCATTTGTATCATTTGGTACATTACAATTTCTTTTTTTAAAGCTCCTTGTTAATTATTTCAGCTTTTCTTGAAATGACAACTAAGTCTCACAGGAAGAGGGGAGCCTCTTGGTTGTGTGTCCTCCACCAGAATGGTCCCCAGCAGTGGTGAATTACAGGGCGTGGATTCTGTGGACTTCAGACGATCAATCTCTTGTTTCTTCTTCTTCTTAGCAAACCTCTCAGCACTGGAGGCCAGGTCATCCTCAAAGTCCCTGGGCTGCATTGATTTAGCTTTCTGAAACAGCAATGTTAAATAGTGATTCATCATCTGAGAGGTTTTGTTCCATTAATCTACTTATGTTAACATGAAAACTTTTAACTTATAAATGGAACAACTTGGATCAACTTAAAACATTTTTACAATGACTATTAAAAGATCATTTGATTAAAACACAGAGCACATTTTTCTTCTACAGAAGATAAAGGTTAAGTTTCTGACCATCACTTCAATGGGTAGTCTTCAGTACATGATTTAAATTTCGATTTTCGTAAGTTAAATCTTACTTTAAGCTTAGCAATTAGAAGTGGAGTTCCTTTCTGGTCAGGAAGCATTGCAGGATAGAGCCTCTCAGATACATGTTGTTGGTTCTGTTTACAGCTGGAAATATTAAAATCAATTTTATTATACTCATCTAAAATATCTGTATAAAACAATTTTCTGCAAGACTGAAATTAAAAATTGTGAACATTTACCCCATTACTTATTTATTTTTTACTTTGATTAATTTGATAAATTTTCTAAACAAAATAGAATATCATTTATTTTTGTTTCTTTAAAGAATTTTTTCAAATGAAAAAGACAGTTTGTGTGTAAATTTTTTCCCATGCTCTTTATCATAGACACAAAAATTATTCAAAGATTGTTAAATAGCATCTAACCTGTCAACCCAGAGAACTGAGACTAAGTGAACCCCTTTCTTTGTGGCTTTGGTGATTGTGCGCTTGCTACCTTCTTTGAGTACAACATGAGTCACATCATTTGAAAACGTTTTCGCAACCACAGCACCAAGCTGTACAAGCTCTCTACAGATGGCTTTACTTCTGTTATCATTGGTGGATCGAACTTCCACTTTTGACATAGGCCACAACATCTGTGAAAATAATTGGTTATTTTTACACATAAGGACATGTATAGTATCATGTACCTCTAATGCAAAAAACAATTTTGAATATAATATATGTTTAAAATGTTCAGATATAACTAATCTAAGAAGGATCTACTTCATTGTCAAAAGAGATCTTACTATGTATAAATTTATAATGTTTAAAGCCTTTTTTCCTTCTCTTAAATACAATGCATCTTATTCTCAAACCTTTCAAAACTCTGTCATCAATAGGTTGTGTGGCTGGAAGATCATCGTCAGTATCCATGGCACATGGAGCATTTCTGTCTTCCCCAGCCATGACATCCTGATCATTTCCTTTAACATCAAAAGTAACTATACTTGTTTTGTCCTCAGGATGATTTTTTGACTCCGAACTTGTTCTAGCAGTGGCTAGTTTGGAGGAGAAAGAGCTCTTCTTTTTTGGTGTTGTTGATTTTTTCTTTTGACCCTCTTTAGAGTGTTTCTAAATGGATAGAACATATAAAAAATACAAGCACCACAAGATTTGATTTTTAGAACAGATTGACATCAGTAATGAAAAAGAATACAAATTTCATCTTTACTACAATAACAAAACATTTTCAATATAATTTTATTATTACTCCCTCTGGATCATCACATCCAGAGTTCAAACCTGTTAGTTGTACTCAATTGAAAAGATGATACGTAACATTCTATGATTATATTGATAGAATATTTTAAAAGTTCTGCAGAATACTAGTATATAAATAGATTAACTATTAAAATATGATTATTGATTTGTACATGAATGATGATGCTACAATAACATAAACTTCAGAATCAAAGTACTGAAAGCACTCATGGGAGTTGAACATGGTGTAAAATAAAATATTTGATCGGGAGGTTAAGTGAGTGAACAATTTTATTATTTCAAATACAGACAACTGTTTCAGATTTTTTGAGTTGCAACATTCTTGAGAAAGACATTCAGAGACATTAAATAGCAAAAAAATGCATGGGCAATAATGCTTGCCTGCCTACATTAGTCCTTTTTTTTAATACCCCCTGCTTGAAAAGCGGGAGGGTATTTATTAATCGGGATTTCCGTCCATCTGTTTGTTACGCCTTAGGTATACCCATCTCTCATCTTACACATATTTTGGGTTTCCCATTGCAAAACATGGACACTGCCATTATATTAATATTAGAGGCGGTGGATCATTTATATAATTCACTGCTCACAGTCTTCAAATTTGTAATATATTTTTCTTGGCACCTTTACCCATGTGTTATGAAATTTTCAGTTTCGCAGGAATAATATCAATGTTGATAAAATGTGGATTTTAACACAGCATCCTTTTAAGAGTTAACAGGTTTGTTACATAAAACTTCTCTGTGAATATAAATGTATTTCAATTACACGAACATTATACATGGAGTACGTCAGAACTTAATCTTTTTTAAATATTGTGGAGAAAAAAGCAATACCAAGTTAAAAACAAATATTTTATGACCAAACATAAAAACAGTGGTATATGTGAGAGTTTTGTGTGCGTACAAATTATCTCATATGTAAATGAGGTTTTCCTTTTATTAAAAAAATATATGCTTCCTTTTGTTGTTTTTAATCGCGATTTTACGAAAACATCGGTGTCCGTTTTTGGTTTTAACATTTATAACAGAGTACTAGATTTACCGCTTTTTGGCAGGTGATACTGCTGATTTAGTAATAAATATGCATGTTTCCCAAAATTTTTAAGCATTAATAATGAATTCATTTAAACCAAGAAAATGTTCATGAAAAGTTTGAATAAATTCTGTGCACCGGTAAAAAAGAAATTGCTAAAAATCTGGGACCGTCGGGCGTCGGGAAGACTAGATTTACCGCTTGCCGTCAGTATGTAGAGTTATCGTTCGTATCTCTTTCAGTGTATGATGCTACACTAAAAATGAGTTCCATTACGAAAAACTTTTGAGGTTCTTTATCATTTAGTTTTACTTTGAACGAAATCTAATATTTAAAATAAGATTACTTTATCATTACGTATACTTACATTATGAAAATTAGATCAATTCAGGAGAAAATGACATGAACTATTTGTGGCGGATGTTTATGCATGTTTTCTGTTGAATATCATCGGAGTAAATCGGTCGACACAGTAGCCTCGCTTTCGGCTCTATATAATCAACACAAATTACTGCGCATGTTAAATGCGTGATGACCATGGGAGATTGAACATAGTTCAACTCCCCAAAAAAAAGACCCAGAGAATTGCTTATTATCAACATTTCACTCGTAACTTGTGGTTTAAGTAATATGCTTTGATCATCTATTCTGAAAATACAATATATATTTTTCCAAAGGCAATGAAACAACATTTACATTCAAAAAAGATTTTTATCCAAACAACATGAACAAGAACATTTTGCTAACTTGAATTGAAAGCCATTCAAAGTGCTCCATGTTCATATATAAATTATATATAGGTCATTAGGATGAGAGGATTTGATATTTTTCAGTGTAGTAATAGAAAAGGATAAAATGTATTGCTGTGCCATGAATTGAACCTGGAACCCCTGCATGGTTTTGTAAGATTTCTTTAGGCATGTTAGGAAAACTTCCACTACATTTTGTGGAAAATTTTTAATTGAGATTTGTGAATTTAACCTGGAACCCATGCATGATTTTGTAAGATTTTCTTTGGGAAATTCCCGAAAATTTCCACTAGATTTTGTGGAAAATTTTCAATTGAGATTTGAGACTGGGACCCTCCGACAGAAATTTGGCAACAAATCTATTCTAAGAAAATCACTGGCATCACTTGTTGTGATCTACCAAATGAACTATCCAGGCTGATATCCATAGTCTAATCATTACATTTACTAGTATTGCATAATATTTATTTATAAAATGCTCCAGAACTTCTGGAGCATTTTATATATAAATATTATGCAATACTATACTAGTAAGACAAGATTATCCAAGCAATAAATATAAAATACTCCACCAAAATAGGTATCAGTATATATACCCATATTTCTTTGAGATTACGTAATCAAATATTGAAAACTACACCAACAGATGATGGATATGTCAGGTTAAAAATGTTTTAGTATATTTTGATGAAACATACATTTATAAATAACCCCCTTTATTATGCATGTGTGTGTCCGAAAGACCTTAAAACATAGATAAAAAAAATATATAATAAAATATTATACAAATATTTGAATTTTTCATCTCTTACCATTTTCAGTGGAGTTAATTCAGCGCAATAAAGACAACACCCTCTCTGCAAAATAAGTTTCTTTTTGAAACTTGCGCTGCGGAAGTTAGCCTTTTTACATTAAGGTCAAAACTCTTTCGGATTTTATCCGGTTTGTTAACATTTCAAATAATCAAAGTAAATTTTTCAATTGATTTTTCTACTGCGTGCAATTGAATGGGAGAAAATAATGATCAAAATCATCGAAATTGCTTTTATTCTCGCGTATAATAAGGATTAGAGACAAAACTATATAATTATTTCGGATTTCTATGTTTTGCATTTAGTGTTGACGGTTTTATGATTAGGGTGCCAATTTTATTTCCTGCTTGAATTTGTTGTCATCACAAACCGCAAGTAAACAGTGAAAAGAAGATGTTTCGAATTATAAGAGCGTGGCACTGCATATCTAGCCAAAATATATGTTTACAAAATGGATTTAGATGTAAATCTTCTTTGACGATGGCCAGATTACGCTCAATGTGCTTTGAAAATAGAAAGAGTGGATTTGCAAACAAACCGATTACATCATTCTGCATTGAAAACAATTCAAACTTAATGCAAACTTTGAGCTACGGAATCATATTAACACAACATCGAAATTTTCATCTGAGTCATAGACTAAACATTCACCCACTTGTTTGGGTGTTTGGAAAACCCATAACGAAATTATCAGCATTAATATTTGGAAGGTAAATGTTGGAATTGCGTTTCAGGACAGGGCTTCAGTGTCTCATGTTGTAAAATAGAAGGGATTAGCCCTAGTTCTTGAATGTTGAAACTGCAAATGAAGTTGTATTGAAAGTTGCATTTGTGTATGATATCTCTGTTTTGTTTTGTTTTTTTTTTTATCAAAAGGGAAATATTTGAAAGTACCTTGTACCTTTGATACCCATGACTGGGGTACAAGTCAAAACGGCACCTGGTGAAAACGGCACTTAGGAAATATGCAAAACGGCACTTGAGAGTAGTCAAAACGGCACTTTAGAAAAGTCAGAACGGTACTTTTTTTATTTTGAGAATTTGATATTGTTTATACAGAAAATGGATCTTTATGTTACATTTATAGTAATAAATGTGTATATTATTATTGATAAAAAGTTTAAAAAATATTTTAGGAAAAAAATTAAACTGATTCATTTGAAAATTATTATACTTTTGTACAGGGGTTAGATTTTTAAAATGTATTTATATTTTAAATCATATATATTTATTTACTACAAAAGAGATCAAATCCCAATTATAGATTATTATGATCCTTTGAAATTAAAAAAATTATAGTGTTGCAAATATGTATACTACTCTGTTTTGGGGGTTGCCAGTCACAGTTGACTACTGTAAACCAAGTATTATACGCGTGCGATAAATATCCGCGAGTTCCGCGAGTAACCTCTGCTCGCGGATATTTATCGTCGCGAACCAGTTGTTCATTATATTCCTATATCATGATTTATTTAGAGTTATTTGCCCTTTTTTCAATACCGATCCCGACGGTTCAACAAGTAATCACGGAAAAACTTTACTGTTAGTGTACAAGAAGCAGTTGAAATTTAATTACAAACATTCAGAAAAAATAAAAACGAATGGCAAATCTAAAACTATTTGTCTAAAAATGATTAAAATGTCAATAATCATTTCAGCTTGTGTTATTATTGTTCATTTATTGTTACAGACGAGTCAGAGAGAGCCTGGTTAATTATGGCTAATTATGGCCCAGTCCTGCTCTGTCCCAACCATTTATAATAATTGCTCCTTGGCTGTGTAGATCTTAGAAAGCGTCGATTACCCAATTAGTATGAGGCACTTTTACAATTGAGAGTTTGAAATCAATTTTAATCTCCTAGATTTTCCCCCGATTTTCGTTTGAGCGTTGTGAAAATGCGTATGACGTATGGTAAACTTTTTATCTACTGTAGGGGCGGATATAAGATTTTAAATGGACGCAATGCACAGAATGTCTTGAATAATGCGTAAGCAGATCGCACGCTACCATTTTACCTAGTTTATGGGCGGATATAAAATTTTTATTTGATTCAAAAATACTCGTGCAAATAAAAAAAAATGTGACCACTCGTTCGCGGAAATAAATCGTCGCGGATAAGTTCTCTGGCGGTCAGTCGCGAATAAAAAATGACGCGTATAATAATTGGTTTACAGTAATTAGAAGCCAGTTAGAGTATGTTTACTAAGAATACACTTGTAGGTTTAGGAAACAAAAGACCATTTCACACCTCCCCTTCAATAATCTGTTGATCGTCAGTTTGCAATCATATACAGCTACTATTGTGTATTTCTCGACAAAATGTCAAATGGATTGTACACAAGTTAGAAAAACTTAGATAATCCTCTCGCAACTGTACATAAAATATGAGTAGCCATACAACATTTAATAATATAATAAACATGTACATACAAGAACAAAACATTTGTTTTTTATAATGAAGATATACAATGTTAATATTGTTAAAATAATTTCTACAGAATTAGATAGAAATGTGAGATAAAGTGACTCTTACTGTAAATATTTTTTTTTTTTTAAATCATTTACACCATTTCTTTTTTCATATTATCAATACTACACTACAAATATAATTATTCTAAATCCCACATATTGTTGTGTTATAGCTTAAAAATACTACCTTTAAAAATAGATTGAAAATAAAGCAAAATTGAAGCCACAAAAAATTCTAAAGTCAATAAATTAAATTTTGACTTAAAAAGAACTTATGTGAAATATATATCATAACACTATTATATACTTTTTTCTCTAAGTGCCGTTTTAACCAAGTGCCGTTTTCACTAAGTGCCGTTTTAACCAAGTGCCGTTTTGCATATTCCAGGTGCCGTTTTCACCAGGTGCCATTTTCACTAGGTGCCGTTCTAACCATAATTCCCATGACTGTACATGGGAATAAACATGCACTAGGTTGCATTATCAGCATAATATTGTAATATGATTGGACATATTTCAATTTAGAAGATATTGAGGTTTTTTTTTTATCATCAAATATCATATTGTAACGAAACCGAGAGTATCGTGTAATAATTAACTCGTGGGCCGCTATTGGTTTTTTGGGTCACTGGTCGAGATTTGATGGTTACGTTGGTCACAGTTTATGTAATGGTTAATGACCAATTTTTGGTCACTTAACTGGTTGACAAAATGACCAATTTTTGGTCACTTAACTGGTTGACAAAATGACCAATTTTTGGTCACTTAATTGCTTAACGGAAAGACCAATTTTTGGTCACTTAGTTGGTTGACGTAATGACCAATTTTTGGTCACTTAGTTGGTTGATGTATTGACCAATTTTTGGTCACTTAAAGGGTTGACGTAATGACCAACTTTTGGTCCACTTTAAATAATGTTTGTTAGGAATAACACTTGATCAAAGTTAATAACATTTATTGTGACGATAAAATGGTTCACTTGTAAACACACAAAATGGTACACAGTAACTTGTTGGTACAACGTTATTTGGTTAATAAAAAGGTGACCAACCAATGGTTAATCCAGGACGTTCCAACTAACTTGGTTCCCTTAATAATTTCGTATACATAGACTTGATACCATGCACATACCACTGTCTTATAACCGAAGTATACGGAGTAGCTCCCCACTGTCGACTCGTCACTTTATCCTTACCAGGATAGGCTGTGTGCTTAGAGTCGCTCCCCACAGCCGACTGAAGTCAGAACCCAAAACAGCTGGTTTATATAGACAAAAGTTGTTATGATGACGTAAGACACTATCAGATACCTATGACGTCACAATCAATACAATCAATAAGTTAGCGGGTTTTGACCATCAAAATTACCTTTACTAAATTCATAATGTTGTACCCATATAAAACATACAAAATACATCACTTTGTCATTGAATTATACAAGTCAAATGAATAAAGTCAAATTAAATCAATTAGTGTTCATTTCTTTCGCTAACTGTTCATTCACAGATATTTACATAGTTTATAAAGTAATAATAAACATAGGGTTCAAGGTCCATTTATTCCAAACTTGTAAACAAGAATTTCATAGGTACTTTTTGTGAAACGTTACAATATATTGTACTGAAAACATCTGATTATATTTTCATACTCTAATAGCCTTAAACTGAGGTAGCTAGCTTGAAACAATAAAAATCCACAACTGCATATTTTTTTACCACCCCCTTTCTGATAAAGAACTCTTAAAAGAAGTTGTCCTGATTTAACTACCCCTTCCAGATTAAAATAACTCTAAACAGATCCAACTATATATTCTAGGTATGTTCAACTTTTTATTCTTTGGTCTAACCAAAGTTTGTACTTACTTTATAACTACAAAATGCTGTTTAAAAGTAGAGATTAAATTAAGCAGATAATGATTTATGTGTTCTTTGTATGTTTTCAGAAAACTTCGAAATCATTTGAAGGAGCTTCATCATAAACACAAAATGATAATTGCTGCTATATTGCTGGGAGTGACAGCTTTAGTGCTTACTTTGTACACATGGGCTCACACAGAAACCGTCCCCATCACCGGCAGGAAGCGCTTTATCTTCATCACTCATGATCAACTGATCAAAATTGTACAGAGAGAAGTCGAGGAAGTGAGTAGGCAGTTGTGTCATGGCAATCAGTTTGTGTTGTTTCATGCATATTGAGAGAAATTAGTTACATGTTTAAGCCATGTTATATTTCTAATTTCATATCGGTACAAATGTACTAATATGTTGAAATATAAATGTAACAAAACACGATGACTTGGAAAAAAAGTACATAAACATTATAATCTTGTTCTGTAAATCTTAATTACACCACCAACTGCTTGGGTTTTTTAGATGGGAAAATCTTATCAATTTAAATTCTATTATGCTGGACTTTAATTTTCACAAATTACTATATAAAGGGTTAATTTCACCCTGTGTTATTTTTGCCCTTCCACACTTGCATTAATGCAAACAATTTTCCCTCATTTAAAATTTACCCAGTCACAGTTTTGTTTATGAAATCATACTGTGTTCTTTTAATTCACCCCATTTTAAATTTGCCCACCCATTAAAAGGGTGAAAAGGGCGAAAATAATTC